TAATATAATATATAATTTTAAACTATGTGAAAATAATATTATTTTATTATATATTTTGGTAGTTTAATGTGTTCAAATAATCTTAAAAATATATAATTTATAATATATAGTTTATGTATTTTATAATAATGTAAGTTAATTTCTCTTTCAGGTTATTTTTATAGAATACTTAAACTCTCTAAAATGATAATAAGTATAAAGTAAAAGAGAATATATGGGTGTGTCAATTATCACTCTTTTTCAAGTGACTTTAATTCAAAATACCCATTTTTTTCTTATAATTATATAAATAATGAAGATATTTTGTATAAAAAAAAATTAATTATTGGTGTAACTATATATAGAGAGAGAGAAGATTGCAACAGGAGACAATTTTAAAAGATATTTACTTTCTCTTAATTTAAATAATTTATAAACACAATTAACTTCAAATTACCAATAAAGAAATATTTAGTTTCCTATTTTATATTTTTTATCGCTTGTAAAAACCAGCCGTGAGGAGACAAATCGTATCGTTCTTTGCTTTTACGAACCTTTAATCAAGTAAGTTTTAGAAACTACAGCGTGTGAGAAGGATACTTGGGTTTTGAATTGGATAAAACAAAAAGAAAAAAGATCTCCGAATAAAGGTTTAAGCAATCTCATCACACGTGTAAAGCATAATTTATATTTAAGTTCGTTATTATTAGAGTTAACTAATAAATCACATAAACTATTACAGATTATTTTAATTAAAGTAATCTAACGTTACAAGGACCACTGTAGTGCCCTTCTCAGCCCCCTTCAGTATTCTTAAGATAATACTTATTAAATTTAATCTTTTTAACCGCGTGGTTCGTGCTGAATGCCTGTTATTTATCTGCAAGCATAGTCGACATGTATATATATATATATATAAGAAAATCGAAAAAGCTGAACACACGAAGGTAATTAGTCTTCGAAGCTATTTATGCTTAAGAATAAATTTTTAAATTTAAAACTCTCATATCAAATTAATGTTTTTAAAGGTTAATTAAATTATAAAAACAGGACAATATTATAGATTTATAATTTATCGACAAGCTACAACGTGGGAATAAACTTGTTGAACTGAGCTGTTAACTCGTAAATACTATCACTTTATTTATAATTTATCTCTCCACTCAATCACTTTTTTGGTTTTATTGAGTTTAATTTCAATTTTTACCCCAAAATGAAAATTATTTATTATGCCCTTTATTCTTATATATACAATTTTAAAAACTAGTCAAAACATAAAAACATTGAAAATCGCTCTTAATAATGAAGGTGATTTCATAATCTTAAGGTATGTGATATATGTCATAGGATATCACTTATACTTTGACATTTAAGAAGTGTTAATAATATATTGTTTAATATTTTTTTAATATTTTAATTTAATAAATTTTATTAAATATTAAAAAACATGAATATTGCATATTAAATAAAAATATATAAATTTAATAAAATTTAATTAATAATAATTTTTTTTATAAGTAAAACATATATTATTAGAGAGAATTTAAGAGAAATTTAAAATACATATACATAGAGAAAAAACTTAATACTTACTAAAAAAAATAAAAAATAAAAACATACTTATACAAAATTTAGATAGATGAAATTTCGTAAGTTCAAATATCAATCAGCTAACAAAATAACTTCTCTCTTACTAACAAGTGATAGTCACTTTTAGGATCTTAGAATAATAGAGTCTGAGACTTCTCTCTCATCCAAAACATTATTGAAAAACATAATTGTATTTCTATGTAACCACAAAAATTACATTGTATTTACCCAAATAATTAATAAACATATTATTTCTTTTTTACTACAATCAACACCAATTTAAGAAAGTAAGTAAGTTGATAAATCTGAAGGTAAAACTAATAAAAATTAAAGCAAGTGTATATTAAAGTATTAGATTTAAGATGTAATTAAACACATTAAAAATAAATAAATTAAAAGTTTCTTCAAATTATAATAGAAAAAATAAGTTATATCATTAATTTGAACCTCATAGTTAATTAGTACACCTTTACAAAAAAAAGTGTATTTATCAATAATTGTTAATTAATAATATATTTAAAGAATGTAAACAATATACCATTATAATTTATTAAAAATTTTATCTTTGCTACACCATGAATATCTCGTCAAACAAGGATCTTTTGAGATTTTCGGCTCATTGTAAATTCCAAAGGGCCTCCTGTGTTATTTTTTCCGAAAATAGATACAAAGCGAAAACTGACAAAAACAGTATAATCAAAATCTACTTTAATTTTCGTATAATCATTGCTAATTATTATATTTAAAATTTAACATTAGCCAGTCATAAAAAAAAGTGCAGTTTCGTCAAAATTGATACAGAAAATTTCAGCAAAAAATAACAGAGAAAAGAAAATTATGGCAAAAGCTTCTATATATGGTACTGGTAAAGTTGACAATGCGCAAGCTTTTCTAATCCACTGTGGTTGGAAGTAGACAAACTAAGAGGTAATATCCGCACGTCACTCGTCACGATATTTTATTTATTTTTTCATTTAGTAAATTTATTATTATTAAAAAACTTAAATGTCAGCTATCAAACTTCAGTTACATTTGCAAATTTCTTTAATGGTTTCAATTTATTTAACTGATATTTACAACTTAATTAACAGTCATAAATAAACAGAATAAGCTAAATAATTCTCACACTAAAAAAATATTAACTGGTCCGAACTCTAATATCTAAAAGTAAAGTGATAAATAAAACTGATAGTTTGATGATTTTTTGAGAATGTAGATTATTTGATATATTTGAAACAACTTGTAAAAATTAAATAACAATAATAGTTTTAGACATTTTTTTTTTATCTTTATTTTTGTCTGACAAATCATATCATCTTTGAAAATTACTTTCCTCTATGCACTTTATACGCATATGTTACTAAAATAATATTAGTTTAAAACATACTGCGAAATGAATGTATAGTGCTCAATTTTTTATAAGATTTTTTAACATGACATTTTATATATAATAAATTTCATGAGAGAAATATAAGATTTAATACTGTTAATATATTATATTATGTAATTTTAATAAAAAAATATTTTATATATCTTTTTATCATATATAATATTATACAGGTTATGAAATTGTTTTTTACAACTAAAACAATTTATTCTAAACATTTAGTTCCTATCACTACAGCTTTTTGGTATGTAAATGTGAGTACAACATTGCTATAACTAAAAATTATGTTCTGTAAGAACGATCTATTATTAGATTTGTTTTTGTTGATGTATTATTTGTATAATAAAAGTTAAAATATCAATACTAGTAAATATTAAAACTATACTAAAATTAATTATAACGCAACATTTAGTTAAATTTACCATTAAAAATAAAAGTTGTTAATAAAAAATATTTTAAATATAATGACAATATAAAATATTTTACAATGTGTTATAATTACTTAACAGTATAAAAAATTGTATATTAACAATGCATAATAATTAAATTGATAAAAAATGACTTATTTTAAAAAATCAGTTAAATAAAAAAAGCACTATTAATAAAGTTTATAATAGTTGATCAAAAATTATTATTTTTTTAATCGTTATAACTCTAAAATTTAACCAATAAAATCAATTAATTTAATTCAATTATATATATATATATATATATATATATATATATATATACTTTATAAGAAAATAAAAATTATAAAAAAATCCCAAATTATTCGTAGGAAAAGTGAGGAATATGGTTCCTTATCTGTAGGAAGTGTTTTCGAATTTGTTTTTCTAACGGATTTGATGAATTTTATAGATTTAAAAAAATAAACTTACAAAATGTTTTACACAGGAGTTTTACTGTCATGTCCCGTTTGTTTTTTTTTTTTTACAAAGAATCATAGAAAACTATTTTTAATTAAAAAACCATTGATCTATGTTTAGATATATTAATTCATTTAATTTTATGTTCTTATTATATTTTATAATTTTTAAATAAAATAAAAAATATAATTTTTATAATTTTTAAATATTTTTCACACGATCATCCACTTAAAGTTATGACTAATCTTAATAAAAAGTAAACATAATTTAAATTTATTTAAAAAGCATAAAGAATTACTGAATTTTTTTTATAAAAAATATCAGAAAGAAGGGATGACATTTACTTTAAAAAAAACTAAAATAATAAAATTTAATATAAATATTGTGAAAAAGATAAAAGAAAAACATATACAATAAGAATGTAATGTGACGTAAAGAAAGCAATAAAGAAGCTAGGAATAAATTAATAATGAATGGATAATGACACTTTGGAAATAATAATAAATATTTGTTTAAAAAATTATAAATAAATATCTATTTTTATTATTCAAAATATTTTTTATAAAAATTTTGTTAGCAAGATTTTAACAATACTTCATTCATCTTATATTAATTTATCACTTGATATAAATATATATATTTTAAAAAAATAATTTATCTAATCAATTAATATAATAAAATATTACACGCAAATGAATTCACATAAATTATTTTAATTTAATATGTGATTTTGAAATTGAGTCTTACGAAATATAACATTAGTAATTAATTAGATGAAAACTTTATCATAATTATCTCTAATAAATGATATTTGTGGTAAAAAATAATAAAAAATAATTAAACAGTAAAAAGTATTAAGTTATTACGATAATTAAATGATAATTAATGTTGATAGAAATTATCTTTAATAAATAAAATAATAAATATATTCAAATATTTTATTACAATAAATAATGAGACAAATTAAAAAAAAAAGGTTTAAGTGAGAACTAATAAAGAATGGAAGCTAAGAGCACCAAGTTAAGCATGCTTCCTAACAAAAAATGGAGGGTGCACGAACCAGACACCTAAGGTTGGCTATATAAACAGGACAGAGCCAGCGTTGGGGACAATCAGTAGTAGTGAGTGAAGCAAGTGAGTGAGTGTGTGTTGTGTTTGGATACATCTTATGCACAAACATGTCTTCTTCGTATTCTGCACCCACTGTCTCTGTAACTGTCCTGTCAACATGCACCGTTCAGCCTCACCAAAAATCCACTCTCCCAGACCTTAAGCTCTCTATCTCAGACCTTAACATGCTCTGTTCTCACTACATCCAAAAGGGATGTCTCTTCACAACCCCTAATCTATCCTCTCATGCTCTCATCCCTCACCTCACCAACGCTCTTTCTCACACCCTCTCTCTCTTCCCCCCATTCGCCGGCAGATTAAAAACCCACGCCGATGCCCATGTTTACATCACATGCAACGACGCCGGCGTTCATTTCATCCACGCCAACGCCGCCAATCTCACCGTCACCGACCTCCTCTCCCCACCCGATGTTCCTCAAGCCTTTCACCAACTCTTCCCCTTCCACCGCAAAATTAGTTACACTGCTCATTTCTCCCCTATCATGGCCCTTCAGGTCACCGACCTCGCCGACGGCTTCTTTATCGGCTGCGCCGTCTGTCACGCCGTCACCGACGGCGCTTCCTTCTGGAATTTCTTCAACACCTTCGCCGAAATCTCCAGGGGATTCACGTGTCCCTCCAGGCTCCCGGATTTCCTCCGGGAGTCCATTCTGATCTCCAAGGTTGTGCTCCGGTTGCCGGACGGTGACATCAAGGTGACGTTCAACCCCGACGAGCCTCTTCGCGAGAGAATCTTCAGCTTCAGCCGCGAAACGATTCAGAAGCTGAAAGCCACGTTGAATCGCCGGAATTGGGGAGAGAACTTTGACGCTGCTGAGGTGATGGCGAAGATGAGCAGCGACACGCAACTGAAACCGGTTACGAGAAGCGTAACTGACGAAACAGTGGAGATTTCGTCGTTTCAATCGCTGTGCGCGCTGTTGTGGCGTTGTGTTACACGCGCGAGGAATCTCCAGGGGACGAAAACGACGACGTTTAGAATGGCGGTTAATGTTCGCCAACGCATGGAGCCCAAGTTGAGGGACAGTTATTTCGGGAACGCAATTCAGAGCACTGCCACGTGTGCAACAGTCGCTGACGTGGTGTCTAAGGAGCTGCGGTGGGTCGCGGAGGAGATGAACAAAAGCGTCAGGGCGTACGATAGCGCTATGGTGCGCCGTGCCGTGGAGAATTGGGAGCTGGAGCCGAAGTGCTTTGAGCTGGGGAACCACGACGGCGCCACCGTGCAGATGGGAAGTTCGCCGAGATTCCCAATGTACGACAATGATTTTGGTTGGGGAAGGCCCTTGGCGGTGCGTAGCGGCGGTGCTAACAAGTTTGACGGCAAGATTTCGGCGTTTCCCGGGAGGAATGGCGGCGGGGCCGTGGACTTGGAGGTGGTTTTGGCGTCAGAAACGATGGAGCGACTCGAGAATGATTCCGAGTTCATGCTTTACGTGTCTGGTCAGTGACACGTGTCTCAATGTTGAAGGGCATCGTGGTCTAGTTCTTACCGTCACCGTTAGATTGTGTTAGTTGTATGGGAAAATTGAAGTAACGCCGTGACGGCATGCTTTGGATGGTGGTCGTTTCTTTGTGTCAGTGTTTGATGGCATCCATTCGCTCTGCCCCATTGTGATGTTATTGCTATTTAATATTTCCATAAATGGTTCCCTTTTTTAGGGCCTCAAATCGCTCGCTTTTTATTTTCGTTTTATTGCAGGCGTTGCTTCTTCTTCTTTTTTTAAGAATATTTTTTAAATTTTTATAACTTCCAACTTTTCCAATTATTTTTATTATATTATGAAATATTAAATATCCTCTTTTTTTACATTTCTAATATTTTAATTAAAAAATATATCATTTTTTAATATTATAAATGAAGAATGTTAGTAACACTTTATTATTAATTAAAATTTATTAAAAATTGAAAGTACAATAAAAAGTGTTAATTTAAGAAAAAGAAAGAGTGAGACACCTAATTTTTATAGTTTTCAATAAATTTTAGTTAATAATAAATCGTGTGTTAAATAATGTGTTAAAGAATATATTATTAATATTTGTTTAATATAAACATATTGAATTGTATTAAAAATTATAACTTTTAATAAAACTTGATTAGATATAATTTTTTGTGATGTAAAATGTTGTATGTGTTAAAAAAATTATATTTAAGGTTTTTAGAATTTTTTTGTTTAATGCTTATTTGTCCTTTTATGTTTCACTGAATGCGTAATTTTAAAATATTAATTAATATATTATTTATATAAAATTTTAGCAAAATTTTAATTTTACCAAAATTTCCTCTAGCTATTTAATTTTTATTCATTAATCTTACCCATTAAATTTTAATATTAAAATAAAATATGCTTTATAGATTAATATGAAAGTAAATTATGATGAAATTTTTAAGTTGGTTTCGTTGATTTTTAAATTTACAACAATAAATTATTCATCTTATAACAAATGTTTAAAATAATTAAAAATTTTGCAACGGTTAAAGATTTACTAGGGAAAAAGAAATAAACATTATAAATATTTTTAAGTGATAGATAAGATTGAAGAAACAATTTAAATAGTTCTACTTTATTTTTAAAATTTAATATTCAATGCTGACCGTTTATACAATACAACTCTTTTCTTTTAAGACATAGCTTACATTTTTTGGAAGTTGGACTTGACTAAAAAGCCTATTCAAAAGTATTTGATAAACAGGACAAAATAATACTTAAATTATAATGATTAATAACATAATTTAAAATGAAATATTTAAATAATTTTATGAATGTAATTATCTTTGTTGTATATATTTCTAGTAGGAATTAAAAAAGGGGCTGGTTATTTGTGTTCTCGTGGGTGCGGTCAAAGGTCAGCATTTCAAAATTTCAATCACTTATATTCTATTAATCAGCATAATCCAAGTCATTGTGCACAAATGTGTATATTTCTATCATCAATTAAGGTTCTTAATGCATGTGAGTAGTGAGTTTGACCATCACTCGTAAGTGCTGTTAATTGCTAAACACCCTAATAATCACACTATATATGACAATAGAAAGACCAGTATATGCTGTTATGTTCAAGAGCTGAAAAACACTCAATGAATCCATTTTTATGCAATTCAATATTTGATCAATTGTTTATGTCAAATAAGACTAATATCTTCATTTTTCAAAGAGGATTCTATTAAAATTAGCAGATAAATTACACGAAAGTTCAAAGTTAAAAATCTAATATAAAGATAAAGAGTAAAAGATAAAAGATAAAAGTCTTAAAATATTAACTAATTGAATTGAAAGTATTTGGTAGAATTTTAGTTGTTAAACTAGGTTAATAAATGTAAAATAATAAAGAAAAATGTCATTAATTTTTATTCTAAAATTTAAGATTTGGTAATTATATATTATTAATATTATTGTATTTTTTTTATTTTCATTTAAAAATATTTTTATCAAATAAAACTCAATAATATGAAATATGTTATATTATTATCTTGATAATTTTATATTATAAGAAAATAAAATGATTTTGTTGTGTTATATTAAAATTTAATGATGAAAGTGATTTAAAAAAGTTAGACATAAACAAATAATTTATTTCAATTATTAGCTGAAAAATAACATAAAAAATGTTAGTAAATTACTTATTTTAATAATCTTATCAAATATAATTATTTTTATTAAACAAAATATTTAACTAATTATTTTTTCAGCTAACTAAATTACTATCTAAACACACTTTATATGGTTAAGAGTTGTTTATTCTTTTTTTACATAAAATAATTAATAAATATGTTGTTTTTTTTTTTATCAAAATAAAGCAATTAAATCTTACTTATGTATAAATATATTCAATGAATAAGATGGAAACTTACCTAAAATCATGTTATAAATATGAAATACGTGCAAAATGTGAGATTTTATGACGATGCACTATCTAAGATTTGATTCTTCTTGAACGGACATTTGAAAATGCCTATATAGATTTGTAGGCGGTCAAAAATTCTTCGTTTTATGGCTACATATTTATTATTTGTTAAAATATATTAAAAATAAAAATTATTAATTTAAAAGTAAAAAAAATGAAACTTATATAATTTTTGTAATTTTAAATAAATTTTAACAATAAAAATACGTAAGAGAGTGTCTTTGAAATTACTCTACAATGCAATATTCTAACCTATGACTTCAATCTAATAAGTCAGAAATGTTATATAATAAATATTTTAATTATATAATTAAAATTATATGAATTTTAATAATTTTTAATAAAAAATATTTAATAATTAAAAATATATTAATAGAAAGTGTGATCCAATGAGTCAATCACTCGCTATCAGCCCCATGAGCCCATACCATTTTCTGCAGAACCCATTATGATATTTAGAGGCTCTTCTTCCGTACAATGAACCATACGCATGCCGTTTTTTGAATAGAAACGGTGTATGGCAAAGCATGCCGTATACCATTTTGATTCGTGTAACAACGGTACGGGCATTGCAGTCAATATAGTTATTTAAGATTTTGTTAATTTTGGTTTTTAAGAAAATTTTATTAAAAAGAGAAATATTTATTATATTTTTATAACTTTAATATAATAATTGTTTGTTTTTTTATAGAAACTTTTTATTTATGAATGCTTAAATTTAGGCTGAAATTAACAACTTTTTTTTTAATATGTAATAAACATAATTATTTATTCACCCCTAATATAAATTTAAATAATCACTTTTGAATAAAAATGTTTTAAGATTTTTTAACAAATGAGCCCTAAGGTTTTTCTGTATAATTAATAAATTTAATAATTATTTTAAAATGATTATCAAATTTGAAGTTTTCCTTGGTTTTAAATTATTTTTCATTTTAAAAAATAAAAATATTGCCATTTGGTCTTTTTACTAAATAGAATGAGAAAGGATTGATAAAGTGACGTGATGATATACTCAAACAAACTTGTAATTTCTCAAAATCAATAAATTTTTAATCTGTGCTAAACCTTAAATATGGATAATTAGGTTTGAATTATATTTTTATTTTATTAATATTCTCTCTCGTTTCAGTTAATTGAGTGATCAGGAGATAGTGATTTAAAAGAGACAAATATAACATTTTTTAATATAAATTTATTGACACATTTAAAGAAAACAAAAAATCTCCTAAAGAAGTGGTGACTTTCTTTCATTTCTTAAATGTGATGTCAAGATTGTTATTGTATAAGCAAGTATTTTTCTATAGATGACTTTTATATGAACTATTTCTAATTAGAGATTCCGAGGGAAATAAATTGCTAAGAATAAGAGGAAATATTTTTTTCAAGTTTAGAAATTTATAAAGATGATAGAAAGAAGGTCAGGGGACCGAAAGTGGAACCTCCTCAATCAACACATAGTCCATCTCTCAAAGAGCAAATTTTGCTTGGTGGAACGCTACTTTAGTAATACAATTATTATATTTTTAGAATTTCATTTAAATATACAGACAGTTTCATCTAATTATACGTTATTATATTAATAAAATTAAGTAATTTTATAATAATTAATATAAAATGATATTTACAATGTATTTTAATTAGTTATCAGTGTAAAATTCTTTACATTTGATGTATTCTTTTTTTATTATTATTATATTATCTATCACTTTTTTTTTATCTATCTCTTCCGCCCAGCCATTCCAGAGCCATTCAAAGAGTGTCCGGGTATTATTTTCCTTATTATAAAGAAGTTAAAGAAAGAAAACGACAATTCTTGAGACCATGAATTGACCAACATTAAGCCTTCTGCCTCAATAACGACTTCACGAAAACTTAAGTATAATACAAACAAGAATGCACTAATAAATCATTAACAATAATGCATGAATTGACCAAAATAACTTAGCATTTGGAAAGAACTTGACATTTGTTTCTTGCGGAGATGCATTATTACATTTGCAACAAGATAAATGTAATACAAATCCAAGTTATTAATAAGCCGTTAATGTTTCGGAATCAATTCTATGTTTTAAGAGATTTTTTTATAGAAAGACAGAGTGCAGATACATTGATCCAATATGAACCAGAAGGTGATGCTCTCCATCTTCGTAGATGTTTTGGTCACAGAAGATTTTCTCTTATTATGTAGAAATCTTTTCAGCAAAACAGTTATATTAGAAGTTCAATCATGTCTTATAATTGACGTAGCATTATATAACAAAATGAATAGCACGTTTGGAAAAGTACTTTTAAGAGAATTGATTAATCTTTTTTTTTTTCAAAAGAAAATTCTTTCAAGATGCTGCTTATTTTTTAGAAGCCATAAAATTATTTTAGTTAATACACACTAAATTGTGAAGTACTTTTTCAGAAACCATTATGTAAATTATTGAAATCATTCACAGCAAAAAAAAAAAAAAAAAAGCAAAAAATTATTGAAATCATTTTTTGTCGATTATTGAAACGGTTTCGCATCAAGCACGTGAATACACAAATAGTTTAGACTTGCAGATTAAAGAAAACAATTGAAACATATCGCCATTATGAATTGGCTCTTTTTAAGACTCGAAATATTACTTCCCAAAAGTTCCAATGTTGGCAAATTAGCCACTAAGATTGCAAGTTTTTAACAAATTGTCTATTGCTATCGATCATTTTTAATTGTTGATGTCCATCATGCCATTATGATTAGTCATGATTTTTCCAAGTTCACATCAAAAGTAAAATTGCTTGAAACTTCAGAGGATGATTTGCCGAAAATATGAAATTTAAAGCAAGAAATTTAGAGTTTTGCTTATTTCTCATTGCTATGAAATGATATACTTGTATATACAATAACGATACTGATTTAGATTTATCCACGTCTTACACGCCCCCTTTAAAATAAAATCAGCCGATATAGTTCCATCTAATCCCTGGTTCGTAATTATGGTTTCCTGTGAGTTGCAACTCACAACACCACAGGTGCTTGAATCTAAACTTATATTCGAGGGTCAAGTAAAAATCAGCAAAAGTTAGTTACCAGAGCAAAGATTCATTTCTGATAACCTGATCAGTTTGTTTATAATAGTAAATTCTTTAAAGGTTGTTAACAAAGCTACCAAACAAAGAAAATGGGCAGAGTATTGAAGAGTAAAATACACAAAGCATTGGAAATGCGAAAAAGGATCATTATGCCATGTTACGTGTAGTTCTCTAACTCTAGTAGAAATGCTCAAAATGATTGAAAAATGTGTAAGAATCTCGATCCAGATATTCAATAACATCGCGTTTACAGCTCCAAACATCACGACCCCGCAAACCTTATGCAGCTGCACTTGGCACTGGTACTGATTTTGAATCTTCTGCCCTTTCATGTTCTTTGTTGAGCATCTGAAATCACATTCCAATATTAAAAGACATGAATCACAGTAAAATCTGGCATGATTTAGCAACATCTTTTATTTGATAAGCTTATCTCATTTACGATAGGTAACCCTTGTATCCAGTAAAGGATGAGTTTAGTAAGTGCCTAGCTTTACTAAACGTAAATATACTAATGGATGACTCTAAACTTTTCTCCAACCTTCCCAATTTTCTTTTTCATAACATAATAACAAATCCTAAATATTAAGTAATTAGCAAACATCAACAATACTTGTAGCAGCAAGGTTCAGGGGAGTGTATCTCACCTTGTTGTTAATCAAATTGTGGAGTGCAATTACACTTCTAATGAGAGACGACAGGTATATTACCAACATCATATCATTGGTTTTCACTACACAAGTAAGACAGGGTTCAATAATCTGAAAGAGAAATTACCGAAAAAAATGATATTCACAAATAAAAATCACAAATCTTAACCTGCGAAAGCTTTGATGAGATCGGCAACATTAAGATTTGGTAGCAGGTTAAACACATCCTAACAAATTTCAACAAGTGAAAATGGTGAAAAACAATAATGATCATAAGCACAAGAGGGCAAAACTAAAAATGCTTCACGCTTCTATTATTCCAAGCAATTAGTTGTTTGTTACAAAAGGTTCTAAATTAAACTACAAAATGTGAATCAGCTGAAAATACTTTGATCTAGATTCATGAACAAATTGATAACAACGCCAAAAAATCAGCATTTAATCAGCAAGAATATGGGTACAAACCTGAAGATGGTACAGGATCTCATGGTTTAATGGAAGTTTTCCATCAATAACAAGGTCAAGGTAACTCCTTATCTCTTTAAGTCTTGCATCTAAACCCTTCAAGGCTGTGAGTTTTGCACTCACCTGTGTCGTAAAGAATACAATGTCAGTGCACAGCTGGAATTCTTTTACAGAAATGAACCACACAAGTAATACAACAAAAACAACATATAAAAAAAATCAAGAAAAAAATGAGAAAGGAATTAATAGATAAGTTAAAAGGGTAGGAAAAAACCTCTGTTGCAAGGGTGCTAATGGTAGTATCCTTCACATCTCTAAGCAAGTGTTCCACTCCTGCACAAGGGTAAAACGAAAGAAGAAATTGGTTAGACCACTGTATGGATAAAATTCAATATTTTCAGTATAAGAAATTTGAAAACAAACTAAATAAATTACAGCAGTTTTACAATCAAGGGCATTACCGATTTCCTCAACTTCATGAGCAGCAATCTCTGATGGCACATGTACAAAGACCTTTTGGCTTTTCTGAGTGGCATTCTGAATTCAGAATAAACTATATGTCACTTCCTTTGACTACCATTAAGTGTTGAGCAAATACTAGCTCCAATCCCAGGAACATATAAAGCAGAATTACTTTTGCAATAAAATCAATAAAAACAGAAATATAATTTCTTAAACAAAGATATAAAGTATTTATGTTCTACCTCTTTAACCTCTTCAACAGCGTAGTATGCTTTTGTTGGGATTCCCAACTCCTTAGGTTCAACATCTATAATAACCAAAACAGGATTTGGAACATAGCTGCATTGGTTTTAAGCATGACCAATTTAGATAAAGAGTAATCAGGGATATAAACACACAGATGGTGACAGTAAACAGGAAAAAGAACAATAGAAAACGTAAGAGAGTTTCAATCAATTTATAACAATGATAAAAAATGAATCCATTTTATTCTTTTTAAAATAAAATTGGGACATACTAATGCTCAAATAAAATAAAAACACCTAAGGAATATCACTTCACAGTTTACACAGGATTTCAGCTCAATTAAACATACTCATTAAATAGGCCATGAATGTCAAGATCATTTTCACGCAGTTTTGGACCAGTGCTATACCACCCCACAACATGCTCCTTTGCTGTCCACCGAAAAAAGAAACCATGCTTAATTAGAGAAGAGATATTCAATTGAAAAGCAAAATATAAAAAAAGGAAATATTTCCCAAATCATACCATTTATTCTTTTAAACATGGAAAACATGGATTCATGGTAATTGTGGTCAAGAAACCAGATGCTAGGATCCTTGTCATCTTCTTCAAAGGGCACTGTTGATCAGATAACCAATTAGTGAGATTCACATACCCCAATAGTTGTTAATATTTCTAAACCGTGCAAAAAATCATTTGGAAGTAACAATCTCATATATTCTACTGAATATCGAGCATAATAAACATACCAACGGAGCAACAAGTTAAAATGGAAAACTTCAAGGCTCTCTCTCGTATACATAATAAATAAAAAACACATTAACTTAATAAAAAGTCAACACACCAAAAAGTTATCCCCAAGAATTCTTAGAAATCACGAGACAGAGAGAAAGCTAATAGACGCATCAACCACCATATAAAACTCCTCTAGAAAAGTTCGAAGGTTATAATATAACACAAGCCATCTCATACTAACACATCCCTCAGAGAAGTTTGTTATAACTATGTGTATTACAAGGAACAGTTAACGAGTGAAATAAAACAGAGAAGAACATGTTAAGCAAGTATTGATTAACGTAACATATCACGTAGGTCAAAAATCTGATTTGTCACTCTGAATCCCAGTGTTATTAATTTTGAGAAAGTCCTATCGACTCTTCATATAGATCAGCTAAATTATAATGAACATAATTTAACAACAAAAAAAAAACTACTGCACTTTGTCTTCTCAAAATTAGGGCACAAATTTTAACAGTAAAGCATTGGCATCAAGTGAAAATAATAAAATTGAATGGAGTAATCGAAGAAGAAGGATGAAAAAAAAGGTAGATCCGAACCGGCGTAGCTGTTGGTAACGTCGACGGTGCCTTTGAAAGAGGAACCGAGCAAGACGCCAACGACGCGCTTGCGAGTGTCCTTAGCAACTCTGTTGTAGTTGTCGACGATGCTGAGCAACACAAGAGGGTGAACTACCACCTTCTCGATTGGTCGCGATGAGATTTGCTGAGTCTTTATCACATCCATTGCAATCCCCACTTCACCGATTTTCTTCCTCACTTCAGTTCTTTCTCCTCTGTCTCACCTTCTTTTATGTTCTTTTCTTTTCGTGTCTCACACGAACCCCTATGTTTGGGCTTTCATCCTCTGTTTTTCTCGGCCCAATTTGTGTTTAACAATCAACTTCTCTCTAATTGAGCCTTTGGCCCAACTAAATTCCTAAATCGTGTTTTGATTTTAGTTTCTGCCCTATTCACTCGTGATACTTATTGTCAACAAAAAATTTTGGTGCCTAAAGGTGTATCCCGTTTATTGTTGTTCTAAAATATTTATCGCCATTTCTTTTTAATAATATTTATTTAAATTACTTTTCATCTTTGTTGATATAATTAATACTAAAAATATGTTTTAAAATAAAACGATACTAGATATTATCGATTAAAAGATAGTTATTAGTTTATTTATGAAGTTTCTCATGTCACATTAAGAGATTTATAAATAAACTTGAGGAAATGCTAACAAGTGTTCTTACGATATTATTTAAAAATTATATATATATATATATGAAAATGTAATCAACTTATTCTTTGTAATTTTTAATGTAATCTAATAATAACTTTTAATAAAAAAATTTATTATTATTTTTTAATTCGTACAAACGAGTACTAGTTTAAATTTTTTTCCTAACTTTATAAATGGGAAAGTTAATTCGTTGTCACATCTTTCTTTTTGTTAATTTTCTTTAACTTTTGCCACATATATTACCTTCATCTCTTTTTGTCACTTTTAAAGATACTTCTTATTTTCACTTTTCTCAATTTTATCCTTGTGAAAAAGAGAAGAGATAATAGTATATGAAACAATATCAAAATTATAAATGAGAGATATAAAAGGTGTACTAAAAAATAATAAATAAACTTTTACATTAATAATAAAAAAGTTAATTGTTGTTCTTAATATGTGTGCTGCATAATCATAATCGACTAATAAAAAAAAATTGAAGCAATATATTATTAGGACAACCTTATTGATGATACAACTTCGATTGTTTCACAGAACCTCTTCAGTTATTTCTTTTTTTCACATTATTGGGTATTTTGTTAAATGCGACACTGATGTAAAGTGGGAGTGAAGAAAAAAGTGGTTCAAAACGAAGATTTTAGTCTTCGTTATATTTCAAGATTTGGCGTAAAGCTAGGACCAAAATGATTCTACATTTTTCTTACCACAGAAAATGTTTTCAAGAGATTTCTTATTTGATTTGCCTTTGCATGTGACCAGCTCCTTTGCATGCGAATCAGAGCAATACCATTGGTCTTCTGAAATGATTTTATTAGTCGATCTTAAACAATAATTTGAATTAGTTTTAGATGATAGCGGTGAATGACATTCCCAACTATATACCGTACCATTTATTATACATGTTTGTGTGTATATGATTCATGATATTCAAAGATGGGAGCAGACCCGAGGCATGACTCACTTGTAATCGTATAAAATTATTGTTTGCATCGTTTATATATGCATTAATTCCAAGGTGACATCTCTCATGAGAGGATGCGAGTTAGAATCCCAACCATTCAAAATATCTAAGGATAATCCAGCACTGTATACCCAAAGAGAAAAAAACCAACTTGAACGAGCATGCAGAGAAGAATGTCCAAGCGTTTTCAATATTTAAGAAGGGAAAATTATAGGTTCCCACCCACATTTTGGGTTAGGTGGGTGTGGAAGGAAGGAAGAGTAAGCAAGAAAAGAAAAGAAAGATATGATTATTAATATATATGTGATAAAAAAAATAGAGAATGAATATAAATAAAATAAAATAATATACGAGTTATTTTTAAAGTGACTAAAAATTACTAGGTAAATTCATTTCAAGATACATAATTTTTTTTTTTAACTTTCCATCATACAGCCCTAAATGTTTTCTTTTTATGCTAAACTAACAACAATATATTTATTAAACCACAACCACCAAAAACATTCCCATGTTTACAGAAAACTCAAGCGAAGATCTAAAGGTGGGTGGTCCATTTGTTCCCCCATTGTGAATGAAAACATCGTATTATCCCTGCATTCATTTGCATGATCCCTCAGATTCTTTGATTCTGATTCTCCAAAAGAGTTCAAGGGAAAGAGTTGAAGAGTCTCAATCCCCCTCTCGGGCTCATTAATCTGATAAAACTGTGCGAAATCTGTCAAAAGAAACAAATTGGAGAAAAAAAAAAGTCAAACATAAAAAACCATAAAATCTAGATATGTTATGTATGGTGTTTCAAAAAAGATACACGGTGAAACAAAAGAAAAAGGACCTTAATCGTTCATATGTTTACTAACACTGTGTATTGATGCATTTATTATTATTGTTTTCAAACCATGGCTTATAAATTTATAAGAGTTATAAGTTGCCCATGGCATAATATAGTACTCACTTTGTGTAGAAGAACTGATGGCCATGGAGTTTTCTCTACGAATCACATCCTTATCGTGAAAAGATACCTTGCGACGCTTTTGTCTTTCCCTTGCCTTATGGTTTTGAAACCAATAGAACACGTTCTTGCTCTCAATCTTACCATAGAAACTTAGCTGAGTAGAGATTTTTTGAATCTGATCAGTGCTTGGTGTGCGAAGTCCTGAACTGAACAGTTCAGTCAGAAGCTTAACTTGTTCAGTAGTGGGATTCCAACGCCCACACTTAGTGCCAGTGGCACTGCCACTGTTACTACGAACACTTGCACCTCTAATACAAAAGCCTGACATGTCCTCGTCCATATTTCACTTCTCAATGATTCTATGCCTCTGAACTCAAAACTTTAGTTCTGAGCTTCTGAACCAAAAAGATCTGAGCCCGTGTGCATTTATAATACCATAACTGAATAATCTAGTACCAAAATCCTTGTCTTTTTGCCCTTTGTTTTTTGTATTGCTTTTGTGGGCACCGTGGATTAGCCCTTAGCCCATTATGTTTATAATTCATCTTATGTTATACTTTGAATTGATTAGGGAATGTGAGATTAATGAACCATATGTGCGGTTTGATTTAGCCTTATTTTTTGTGCCTAATAAAGAAATAGAAAGATAAAGACATGCGTAAAAGCAGCCACTATTCAACGTTTTGGTCCGGGAGCAGACAACATGTAAGTTTCATTGATAGTGGTTAAAAATAATGTAGTTAGTTTATGCTATAGGAATACAAATACATTTTTTATTTCTCCTGTTCATCTGCTTAGAATCAACACAATGTCTACTATTATATATTTTATATACATAAAGGGGTCTTTATGTTTCTCTGTGTAATTTTTAATGCCTTATGCTTTATGCTTCGTCAATATAGTTATGAGATAAATCCAGTTCCATGAAGACGTGTGAGTTAAGCCAAATTTTGTTTTTAAAAGGAGGGGTTGTCTGCTAAAGTTCATAAAGAACGGTTTAAAGTTGTTATATATTTAAATGTGAAGGAGTGGCAGAGGAAGTGAAAGTCAAAGTTGCACATTGTTTGATCTCTTTTGGACGATTGTGATCACAATAGAGACTGACATAGATACTGAGTTAGGTTGACTAGGTTTCATGGAAATCTTCTTTTTAAGGTGTGGAAACACAAACTAAGAGACAACAAAGCCACCTAATTGAGAGATTTTGGAGGGACAATTCATGACCAACAAAAAGGAAAGTATCTCGGCTTTTCTTATGTCATTTTCTCTTGTCTTTGGTAATTGTCTTTCGAATAGGGGCACTCAAACCTCTTCTTCTTTTTATAACTTTTTTGCTTAGATTCATCGGCTATGATATGTTAGCATTTTAGTTTTTCATTTCTGGGGATAAGGGAAACACGTGGTGAGAAAGATTGACATATTCTGAGATTTGCGCTAGGAATATCTCCTTCTATGTGACCTGAAATTTGAATTGAGAAGTGAGGAAACTCCATGTTGTTGTTATTTGCATGTGAAAGAAAGAAATGATGTAAAATTGAAGTTAAATGTTTATAAGTAAATATGTACTTAAAACATGAATATATACTTGATAAAAAAACTCCTAATACGCTTAAGAATTAACTTTGTATATTCATAATAAATAAAAATGATAAGCAATGCTAGTTTGCAAGTCAAGAAAGGACAAAGGGCACTTTCACTTTGTTGTGTGGACTTCCTACAATTCCCGAGGATGTTGTACAATTCACGAGTGTCATTTTGTCAGTTCATACTTGGCAATAGGGGCTTGCATGCTCTAACTTCAAGGTACTTTGGACTGAAGCTGTTAACCCAAGTTTACATGTTAGGCAGATAGTCATTTGTCATACACATACATGCCTCATCGAGCAGCAAAGAAGTCTTTCCGCGAGTCAACCAAACAGCAAAAAAGAACACACTCCCACCATGTTATCTTCAATCAACATGCAAAAATATTTGCTTTTAGTTATCTGACCCAAAATGTGTAAATTTCGACAATATCTATGAAATTCTTGATTTAGTTAATTTTGTCATCGAAGCAACCCAACTTGGAAATCAACAGAATCGAACACCCGCTTCAAAGAAACGTACTTAATTTTTGAATTTTGATTCAAATGCTCCTATAAAATATGAGTAGCTTTGGAAGGTAAACTTAAGTTCGGTAAAAGTGCCTTTAGAAATGTCTTCTTCTAATTATAACCCCAAAAAAAAAAAATAGTACATATAATGCTCAGGTGATAAAATTTCAGGAATCGTTGAGCTCGAGTTTTGAGTTGAATAATAGTAAAGGCTGCATGCATTTGTGAGGAGAGTTATGAAATTCAAATTGTCAAAAAAATTTGTTTTGGTCATGATCAAATCTTACATTTTAAAAACTGTAACGATATGAAAAAAAAAATTATGAGATATTTGTCTAACTATTTCAGATTCTTACACACAAGTTAGCTATCTGTGTGTTGAAGTTAGGAATTTTTAATATGTAGATTGAATTTCTTAAAATATCCATTCTCTTTATTTTCTTATTTATAAAAAATAATCATTTGTTATCTATATTATAACAAGTAAATTTCGTATTTCCAATAACTAATGACCGTTTTAGTTATCTATTAAAATATGTAGATTTGAAGTTATGAATTTTTAATATATGTATATTTGAATTTCTCAAAATTTGTAATTATTAGTTGTTTTAGTTTTTGACATTAAGGTCCGTTAATTATTATTTGTAATGTGGTAATATTATTAAAGACCAAGTTGCAGTAATGTCAATTTAGAGAATCAAATTGATAAAAAGAAATTTGTCAAAGTCGAAAGCTAAATTTACTTGCGTATAATATAAATTGATTAATAATATTGATTTTAAGAACAAAATTGATGATTCACTCTTTATTTAATTGTTTAATTTACATTATTAATAAAATATTCACTATTTGAGAGTCTGGCGTAGAAGTCCAAAGCTAGGAATAGGAATAGGAATAGGAATTAGGGCAAGCGTGAAATGTTAAATGTTGGACGCGCCCTCTCCGTATCAGCCGTGTCTTTTATACTTTCTTGTCTCCATTACTTTTGTCACTGCTTTTACACAATCACTGCCTACCAATCAATGGAAAACCTTGCCACTTTCCCATCGCACTCAAGTTACAATTGCATATCTTTCTTAAATTAAATTATAACATTTAATTGCAATTTTCTGTTTTGTTAGATACAAGTACAATAAGAAAACCATTGTGATGTGGATATGCATTTGAGTCAAAAAGGGTAAGTGATTAGTGAGTCAGTCAATCACATTTATGTTCACATTCTCAGCAACACTGCCAATCTGTAAGACAGATCGGATTAGACTACAAATAAAGAAAATGGAGTATGAATGACACACAAATAATTTATAGCACATATATTGGTACTACACTCTTTTTTATTTCATCAAAGAAATATGTTATCTAAATCGTCTCTAATTTTTCATAGTTTTTTAACATGCAATAAAAATTTATATATAATAAATGTGTATTAAAAACAACAGGATATCAAATATATGAGCTAATGATTAAGCACTATAATTTTTAATAAAAAAATTATTATTTCATAATTTCTTAACGTGTTTTGTTATATGCATCTTACAAGAACCAAATTTATAAACATACCATAAACTGTGGAGCCTTTGCTTTGATAGAGAATGCAGACAGTTCCCAAGAAAGTTGCAATTGAACATGTGAATAGTGTACGGAGTCCCTTTATTGCTGAAGACAAATCCAATGGGTGCTGAGTATGTATATAAACCTACAAATCCCGGAAGGGAAACTACACACCCTCACTCCCTTAGTCGTATGTTTGCATTTTACCGACCAAATAATTGTGAAATGGGCATGAAATGAAGATTAAAAATTCTAAACAGGGATTCTCCAATCTATGTAACTGTTAACGACAGTGACACCAAGCAAAATGTAGATTAGGGTTGCATTGAGATTTTACTTGGTTTTTTCTTTCAAAGGGAATAAAGACACGAGTGAGGCGCTTGGCCAATATGGATTCAAAATCACTGTTTCAGAAACAAAATGATTAACTCCACCGAAACGAAAGCAGGCATAGAGATTGACTTTGTTACTCCTATAGGCCTTTTAGAAGGGATGAAAGGAAATGAAATAATAAATTAATAATGCATAAGGTTTGTATGATTTTGATTTTCACTACTTAAAATTTTATAGTGTGATTTGCTTTATATAATAATTGAGTTTAGTATAACTTTTTTTTCGCTGAGCTTTGTCCACAAACATCAAGTACGCCACTATTACATTTCGTTCAAACATGCAACGGATAATAATAATAATAATAAAGAGTAATAAGAGAAAAAAGAGGATCGATTGCATTACTTTTATGTTATTTTAAAGTTTCGCTTTTTTTTTCCTTCGGCTTTGAAAATCATTTAACTTCAAATAAAAAAATATATCATTTTCCTCTTTTCCGTCCAAATTCAAATCGGTCAAAATATTCCAAGTGAATTGTGAAGGGTTTTTCTAAAACATCTATCTCCAAAAGAAATTATCCACGTTATATTTCATTTAAAATAAATAAGTAAAGTTTAAATACCAACAAAAAAAAAAAAAAAGACACGTCCATGGAAATATCCCGAATGCCGTTAAGACAGTAACTAAATATTTGATTGATGCACAGAACAAGGCCTTCCATAGGAAAATAATAATTCATTTAAAATAAAAATTAATAGTTGGATAATTTTTATTAAAAAAACTTGACAATTGACAGACTATTTAATCAGAAGCGCTAAGAGATAAATAGGTAAAGGAGGAAATGATTTCGCTCATTTCTTTTCAAATATAACATATTACATGACAATTGACAAGTGAACACTACGGTGCGGTGCAACCTTGGACAAGATCGAAGAAAACCTACCTATGCCATGCGATGCCAAGCACAAAATATGAAAAATAGGAACAAAATATAGCAAAACTAAAAATGAAGTATAAATGGCTGACATTCCACGTTTCTGGAAAATATGACAAGAAAGGACACTGCTGTCGTAAAATTTTCTCATCGCCCATAAACTCTCTTCTTAAGATTCACAGAATCTGTGCAGCTGTGTTCAATTTTTCGGCCAAGCTAAGTTGTGTTCTAGTGATGCTAGATAAATATAGCAACAGCAAGTGATCCTGAAATGAATGAAACGCGCGTTAGTCCAAATAACCATTAACGGCAAGGTGAGAAGACATGTTTATAAACCAAAAAAATAAACAGATCTATTCAATCATATTCGCAGTTTTTGTCAAAAATATAAAATCTCAGATTGTATTTAGCGCCGCCCAGTAAAACACTAACAAAAAGCTTAATCTTACCTGCAAGCTGTCATTCACAAGCTTATCAAAAGCTGATGGGGGTAATTTAGGAAGGGAACCTACAGCATCTGATATAAATCTCCCGATTTTGTTGTCTGGGGCAACTCGCCCTTCCTGCAATGAAAAAATAATTAATAAAATCTCAGAGAAAAAGGCCAGTGATTAAAGAAGGCAGCACCGTCATACCACCACATCATCAACATATTTGTAGATGTCATCAATCAAGACTAGAAGATGTTGCATTGATGCTTCCATCCCTTCTAAATCGGAGGGAATTTTGTCAACAGCAGTTGCCTTGAGGGTATCAACTGCAATTACAGGAATAAACATGAAATCAGCTGCAGCCATTCAAAATAAAGAACATTCTAATTCCATTAATATACAATAAAAGAAATTGCAACGACAGTTAAAAATGCTATTGATAAAACATTGCCATCGGATGGTAGAGGAGAGAATGAAAAAAAATCTAACATAAAAATAAAATTTCAAGAAGTATTCTTCTACAATATGAATATAAACAAACGAATGGCTTAAATTAAAAAATAAACTGCCACCCAAGTGAACTTCAAACCAGTCTTTTCGTCAAGAGGTGTGGAAGCACTCACAAAACAGAAAAAAGACAATTTGTGCATGTCATTCCTGAAGACAGCCCAGGTACAATGGGATGACAGAAGCCTCAGTCAAGCTCAATGAGGAAGAATTAAGAATAAACTACAATAATAGAATTCAATAAAGGATGTGGTTTGACATGAACCTCAGACAAACAAGTCCATCTTGTGATGTGTATAGTGAAAGGGATAACAAGAGGCTTAAGGAAGATAAAGCAGTGTCACTGATACATTACAGTGTGATTACATTGACAAAACTTCAAATACATTTTTTCAAATAAATATTGCTACAAACCCTCAATAATCCCATAAAACTTTAAGTAGCTCTTGATTCATTCTTGCCATGAAAGTCAACAGCTACACTACAAACAGATTACATATCACTTGCTATATATATAGATATGTAAGAAAAGATAACTAGTAAGAACTCAAGAAAATGAAGCATGAAAAAGTTATTACTTTACACAGTCCTTTCAGCACAATTCAATCATTTCAATGCATAACTATTCTATAATTAACAGCTAAAATAATCCACATATCAACCAACACTTTCTTTAAAATACAAATTAGAGAGATACCAGTGATTGATTAAGAAAAGGAAATTTAAAACAAAATTCTCTTCAGATTCATCCATGAAAAGAAAACACATAACCTTTAGCAAATATATTTATTGAGAAAAAAGACTAAGGCTTTATAGAAAGAGAGAAGGGGAAAAAAAAAAAAAGAGGTTGATTACAAAAGATAAGTCCAACCATTACTTACATCCAATTCGCTCAGCTTCCACCATACGAAGATCTAAGGGAATTTCTTGAAACTGTGCAGCAATTTGCCGATCTCCAAGAGATAAATTGTTAGACACATATGCTTTAATGGTACCCGCCCCATTCGTAAATCCTGTATCAACGGTCAAATGTATGGGATTGGATACTTCTCGAGAATAAAATTCATGGATTAATGCACTACCACCAGTTACACCAAGACCAGTTGAATACCTGCATAAATAACCCAAGTTAACATTTGTTTTCTAATAGAAAAGGAGAAACAAACACAGGATCCTCTTGAGACTATAAGCGGGTAAGGTGGAGAAGGGAAGAAACAATTTAGCAAAAAACAACTCTCCGATATTTGTATATTAATCACTGAAACTCCCCCATAGAAACCATTTGCTTTGATCCACTACAATGCAACAAAATAACTCAATCCCATAAAATTTTACAGGTGAAACCAACATAGAGAGCAAACGTTGCCTTCCACTCACCCAAATGCAGTGCTTAACAAAGCAAACTTACAGAAACCAAAGTAAATATTGTTATGCTAGGCCATATGGGATTTCAATTTCTAGGTACACAGGAGAAAACATTATGAAAACTTTGGGGGTAAAAAGAGTTCAAAGAGAACTGAAATTACCATCCAACGATGATTTCCTTTGGATTCACTTTTTGATGAGATAAGTGCATATTGTGCTGGTACTCTATATCCAAAGCAACCTGAAAAGAAATGTTTTATTCAACAAAATCAGAAACATTTTTTTATTGAGTGAGAACAGATAACAATTTAGCTGATATTGAGAGGAAATAGACCCTACAACCAATGGAAAGACCATTGAAAAGACAAGACTGTCAAGAGGCGAGTAATAGAGCCAAAAGTAAACCTAACCATACAACATTTTCTTCCCTCCAAAAATTTTTGTCAACTATACAGCTGCCCGATATCTTTTCATTTAAAGCGAATTTTAAAAGGCAGAATTTCTTAATTTCATGAAGAAATCTATACAGCTCATAAAATTACTATCCCAATCCACAAGGAGAAAACAAATCGCCTAAGAGGAAGAAAAAGTTCAGGAAGGCCACATGCCCACATCCGAATAAGGATATTCACTAATTAGAGATAAATTAAACAAATAACTTCCCTGTTCAAGGCTTAAACCAACTTTCTATTAAGCGATGCTTGTTCCCCAAACTTCCTTCCGGTTCTAGTTTCAAAATGTCAAATGAACTTCTACATAGTGTAGAGACATATAAACCTCAATAGACCAAAAAGCCAATATATAATTTACTACACAAGCATTAAACTATGTTTGGACATCTAATTATGAGAGAAATGGAAGGGAGAGAGATGTTATGGAATAAGTGTTGTCCACACCCGCCACGCAGTTACAAATACGAAACAACAATTAGCAAAAACAGAAGCATAGTAATAAAAATCATACAAATAACGAAAGCTTAGATCATCATACTTAAAAGCAACTAAGAACATAAGAAAAGGCCATGAGAAGTACAGCACGCATTCTCTATTACATTCATGAAACACATTGAAACATACATAGACCTAAACACATAGCCAAATCCTACAAATCAAAATATGAACTAAATAAATCAATTGTCTCAGATCTAGACGTGGAATGAACTTCCACATTTGCATAGAAACCACATAATATCAGGACCTAACAAATTTATAATTATACTATTAATAATAATTGATACAATCGTTAACAATAAATAAGAAAGTGAAGTACCTGGTCGACAGACTCGTTATGAGGGACAGCATAGGAATTACGGATATCGATGGTTCCGTCGGGGAGGACGGAACCGAGTAGGGTTCCGATGACGCGGTCAGCTTGGTCAGGGCGTCGAACGTAGCAGTCGCAGATGTTGAAGATAACCAGAGGGTGGACCTTGGCAGACAAGCTCTGCGAAGAAGAAGATGAAGAGGAGAACTGCAACACTGTACGATCACTCGCCGCCATGTTCGGAGCTTCGATTCACGCTACTCACTACACCGAACAAGGCTTGCGAAGAAGGCAACACCAGCACCCTGATATATCACTAGGGTTTTTAATTTCAGTTTCCGTTCGTAGGGGAAAGCCCAGTAGGCCCAATAGGCCCAAACAAACAAGCAGGCTCATTTATTCATCATGTTTTCTTTACACGACCAGAAAAGAAAACAATGATGACAAAAAAATGTTTTCTTTAGTTTTAATTTATTTAGTGTATATATTACTTCGCCCGAGACATTTTTATTTTTAACCTGTGCATGTAAAATTAACTAAATAAAAACCTGGAATTAACAACAAGGAATAAAAATAAAAATTACATTGGATGTTAAAATTTTAATACCATGAATAAAAAAATTGATATTTTTGAATATGAAAATCCGCATCGTCAATAAAAATTACATTTTTATTTACAGAGAAAAAAAAAAAAAAAAACCAGGAAACAATGTCTTAACAAAAAAAAAACAATAATCTGTGCTATTAAAATTATTCTTCCAGCTTCACATTCTGATTATAAAAATATTCAATGTAATTTATTCATAAACTAATAATATTGGTGGGAAAAATTTCCCAGAAAAACTTATAACATTTAGATTATCAGTCTTAATATGCTCTCTTAAAAGTCCAAGGAAAACTTCTGCTATAATTGACTAACCAACATTCTTGCAGCCTTCAACAAAAAATATACTCTGAAATCTGGATTACTTTCCCCACTCGTTTTTTATAAGTTGGTTGGTACTGGATGTGTCTGCATACAATACTCAACATTATTTTTATTATGTTTTCATAAAATAAAAAAAATATTTGTTGAACAAATACTTATTTTTAAAAAATATGAATATTGATTACTTTAAATATTAATTTTATAAAAATTTAAATTTAATTATCATTTTTAAAAAAGTACTCATTCTATTTTTTTACTTATGAATTAAAATGATTTTTTTTTGTAAAATAAAGATTAAGATTATTGAAGTTTGCAATTTAAATAACTAAAAAAAACTCAATATTTGTCTTCAAATCCAAAAAACAATAATACGGAACAAAAAGAAAAGAGATGAAAAAAAGTTTAAAACATGATTAGTTAAAACATATCCTTACGCCAAGAATAATTTAGGAGGGAAGAGTGGAAATAAACTCCAATAGTAATGCACTAAGGAGCTGTGTTCTAATATCAATACGCAGACCTGAGAGTCTGTAATGTGAAACAGCCTAAGATAAACATGTTTTTGGGTCAAGGAAGATAAACATGTTTAGTTTTAGTGGCCAGGACTTGAGGATATATCAATCCTTTTAAGATTTTGTAAAACAAGGAGACTAATAAAAGTATTTTATCCCTTAAAGATTTTCAATCAATTTGATTTTAGATTAAGATAAAATATTAAACATTAACATATTTTTTTAATAAAACCACTAACCAAGAGAAGGTACTAAATTATTTTAAATATAACAGATACAGTAGATTTTACTTAAAATAATTTACTTTAATTTGCATTAAACTTTTAAAACAAATATAATTTTAGAAAAACAAAAATTTGTGAAGAAATTTTAAATCACAATAACAAAAAAAATGCTATGCAGATACAATTTCCAACACTAATTTGGAAATATATTTTTCTTTAAAAGACTAGACAGAATTAGCTCCTATTGTATCATAGTATTTCGTGAAGGAAATAGAAATGCAACCCCAAAAGTTGCAGGACTAGGGTTCGCGATCACTGTTTAAAGTAAAACCTTGGCGAACAAATCAACAAATTTCCAATTTAAAATTTGGGACAGAAATTTTGCTTCTGTGGAACTCGCACACATGCAATGCAGTGGAAATTTTTTTCCAGAATAATGAAAAATTGGAAGCATGTATTAAAAAAATAGTTTAATATTTTACGATCAACAATCATTACAAAATTTAATCCACTTTTCTTAAAAACGAAAAAAGAATTTATAAATTACATATTTTCTTTTTCACTCATTTTGAAAGTGTATCACTATCAATCTAAACCGAATTAAATTGTCCAAATTGAAACTTTCACGATCGTTGATTTCTTTCATATCATACCCATTTAATATCGCTATTATCCCATAAGTAGCCAAGGAAGGTCTTAGCGGCATCCAAGCTTGGAAAATAGGTAGGTTCAAGGAATATTTGAGTCAACGAGTCACCCGCGTCGCAACTCAACCCAACTCGGTTACCGTTAGCCTCGGAACTCCCCATAACCACCGCCAACACTTGCTTGTACCCGTAGAAGAACCTCTTCATCGCCGCTTCAATGCCCTGCATCGCTTGAAGCAAGTGAACCTTCTCGAACTCACTCTTCTTCTCCGCCACGTACAGCTTCATCGCCGCCTCTTGAATCCTAGGCCCACCCTTGGGGTCCACCTCCACCTCCAATATCTCCGGCACACTGTGCCTCAGGTCCCTGCACATCTTCGTCACTTCCACAAGTTCCTTCGACCGGAAGCAAAACGACGCCGTTTCGCCGCTCGACGACTTCACCGACAGCTGGTTTTTCAGCCGCAAGAAATCGCCTGGATCCATCATCAGGTGAACGTCTTCCACCTCCGCTAGAAGCTTCCAGATCCGCTCCACCGCGTAGCAATCCTCAGCAGCCTTCTCGAACCTTCTCCCCTCGATCGCGTCCGAGATCCTTTCCAGAAGCTTCCGCGACGCGTGGATCCACGCCTCCACGATCTGGTGCGTCGCATGAACCGCGTGGTTCTCGTAGTTCTCCACGCGGTCGTCGTACGGCGTCGTTTGCAGTGCGTGAACCTCGTTCGGCCTGCACACGGCGTCGTATCGAAGGCTCGGTTTCCCTGATAGGTTCGGTTCTCCCAAACCTAACGTGTAGGGACACCTCATCATTTGGCACTCCACGGAGTGGAGAATCCTCTGCGCTACGTCCTTGGATTTGTACCACGTGGCAAGCCGCGGGAGCATGCTCGCCTCGCTGTAGCTTCTGCTCTTGCAGTGGCTGATGCTGAGATCAGCGGTTGGTGAGGTGCCACGTGTGGAGGGATTGTGTTCCTCGTCCTCGCAGAGCATGGCGATGATCTCGATCTGACGCGTGGCGAGGGACTCTACCCTGCGGTTCCACTCTCTGCGGTTCGAGTAGGGTCTAAGGTCGGAGAAAACGGTAGAGAGAAAGCGGAACGTGATTTCCAAGGCTTGCAAAGCGGGTTTTACGATTGGTTCGTTGGCCCAGTTGGGGAAGTCCCTTGAGTTCCAAAGCTTTCTGAGCTCAGGGAGGCGGAGATAGTGGTCGTAAGCGGCGCAAAGCGGAGGCGCCGCAGCGGAGATTTCGGTGGCGCGGAAGGGTAGTTGCAAAGAGGGTAGGGAGCCGCGGGGTGAGGGCTTGTCGGAGAGAGAGAGTTTGGGAGTTTTGGGAGACAATTCAGAAGTTGGCATCTTTGATTTCCAATGTAAATCGACCATATTGTTCGGAGAAAAATAGAATGTTTTTTCTTTGCTCTGAATGAGAGGATAGAATTGTTGTTTCGTGGAATTGAAATGGGCGAGTGAAGGGAGAAGGGTATTTATATGGAAGTTGTGGATTGTGAAAGAAGAAGGAAAGGAGCATAAAGACGTGTGGACTGAATATTGGGGGGCATGAAGAACGAGGGATTTGAAAGTCTCGGTGGTTTGAAATATGATTTTTAAATAATGAAAGAATGGAATTTATTTTATTTTGTCGAGATGGCATGTACATTAATTAAGGAGGGGTATTATATTTATCTTGAGTTGTTAAATGATATATAACATAAATGGGAAAAGGAGAAGAATGGTGGAGCGGCACATGAAGATTGAAGCTTATCCACAACACCTAGACATAGACGAAGGAAGAAGGTGTCTGTTTACTTTGAACTGTGGAAAGAGAATTTTGTTATATAAATCTTAAAAATAAATGACAACTAATGGGATCGTTGAAGTTAGACCTTTTTTAGGGCACGCTTTGGAAGCCACTGTGGTGTTTCGCCACCGCTTTTTGACATTATGGCCAATCATTCGGCGCCTTGTTACGTTATCGTACTGCCGATGCCCTTTCCGCTTTAAAATACTAAAAATATTTTTTTATTATAAAATAAATAATACATTAATTTCATTATTTTTATTTATCTAAACATTATTCTTTTTATTGTTTGAAATGATGGTATTTCAAGAATCATATAATTCTTTTGAGATTAGACTAGTTCATTCAGCCCTTACTACTCCCGTAATAGTGGGTGGCAATTCAACTACCCCGTAATTAGAGATATGAGAAATGATATATTATTTCATATTTTTTATAACTTGTCTAATTTTTAACAAAGTGACAATAACAAATTTATAAATTGTTTTAAACATTATTTTAATTATTCACAGCATATATTAATTATAAATAACACATTTAAAGAATATATTATAACACCAAACACATCAATAAATACATAAATTAACTGACAAGAGACTATTAAAATTATAAAAATCTATAAACTCTTCAAATAGATAAAATTTGGCCGTGCTACGTGGAAATGGACTGCGCGGGTACACATCCACTCATTCTCACATGTTTACTTTTTTTCCCCTAAACCAGCGGCAATTACCTTTCCCCTCAAACTTACCGGCATCTTCACAACACCATTATCAATAATTTTAATCATTTATCACTTTTTGGTCTTAATGTAAAGAAAATTGATACTTATTGTTGAATTGCTGGAGGTATAGGGCGAATAATTATTTATTTATATAAATATTAACGAGAGATTCATTTAAATAATAAAAAGAAAGAAATAAATATGTCAAGCACAACCGACTCTACAGATCACACAGAAAAAAAAAAAAAACAACATAAATGTGCTTCTGTCAAGCACAGTGGAATATGTAATTGGCAATTGAGACACAACATAGAATAGGCTGGAATGCATGTATTTTAGAATTAAGTGTGATAAATTTTGGTCATGCCCAATTGCCACGAAACAAATTAACATACAATAGAATACAGTTTTTCCTAAGACCATGTATCTACTAATATTATATTTCTACAGATGAAGATCAATATTTTTTATTTTAAATTCATACGATCATTCGGTAATGCCTATCACTTCTTTTTTTCTTTATGAGTTAATTCGAACATATTTTAAAGTTTCCTTAATTACATGTTGTTTCTTCGTTTTAAGGTTTAATGTTTTAACACGCTCCGTTCGTCTATATCCACATTCATTGCGGCGGTACATTGCAAAAGCCAATGGTTCAGTTATAAAATATAAAAAAGGTAAATGATAGTAAACGAAATCAATTTATAAATTAAAGAGCCACAGAGAATTGATCAAACCCATTTACAATTCAACCAGCGTAAACAAAAACAGCACACAGAAGATTGAACAGTAGACATTTTCATCCATCTATATCTTACTCTCCCATGTCCCACAAATTTGTGACTCTCGCTATCTTTCTTTTTTGTTCTTCTGAAAATGACGGTTCCATAATTCCAATCTCATCTTCTCTTTTGCCGGGATTGATCCGTTCCTATTTTTATTTTTGAGGGCTATTCATTAATATTTAATAGCTTGCCCACTCATTTTACTTTTTTTTTATTAAATATTGTTTAAAACAGATTTGAAATAAATTCCCTTTTGTCTAACTAATATAATTAAAAAAAATCAGATAATCAGTGAAAAAAACACCAAATTTAGATAATAAGTAATAGATAATAATAAATAAATTATTGACTATAATTTGATAGCAGTTGCCACAGACTCTGGCCGTGTACTGACGCTGTCGGCGAAAGATAGGCAGATCAGGTTACTCCGGCGGTGCGGAACTGCGCCATAGGATGCTTCCACGTGTCAGAGTTGGCCTCCACACGCAAGAAAATAGAAGAGGGAAAATGAAGGCATGCTTTCTGCCGTCACGCATAGTAAAAATACCAAGTATCTTACTTGCGTGAACCACAAGTTCCGCAGACATAAATGGTAAACCAATGAATAATAGCTTTTTGTTTCAAATAATTAAATTAACAAAATGTTAGAGTTTATAACATTTAATATTATTAAATATTTATAAAATTTACAAGTGCAAGTGCTAAATCCTATCATAATTTAAGATCAAGACATATGCAACTAATTCTATGCCTAGGGCCACATTTTTTGGGGTTAAAACATATTGAATAACATATGTATATGTATAATTACAAAAGGCAAAAACATTTTTTAAAATGAACATAATTTTTCTAATTAGGGCTTATGTCAAACTCACTTGTCCTATAAATTTATTAATCTCTCTTATTTTAATGCAAAACTGTACATAAAATATGATAAAAATGTTTTATTTTAAAAAATAAAATAAAAAAACTGTACAAAAAAGTTAAAAGTGTGGTAAACACTTACCCGAAAAAGAACTAATGAAAGTCATTTATTTTTCTTATCTAATAAGTTGTTGTCAAACACACAAGCGATTAATAAATAAACCCATGTAAAAAGTGAGAATAAAGTTTCTATAATTTGTTTCCTTAATATGATATTGATAAGGATAAAGGAGGATTAGGATGAAAGACTGAAAAGTGAATGGGGGATGGATGGTGTTTGACATGAAGGGCAGTCAAAGCGTGTGAATGTTGATGGGAGTGAGTGCATTGGGTAGGTTTGCCAATTTGCTGGCAAACAACCATGTTTTGAGGCGAAATACATGCCAATAATGCATATACAATAATCAATCAATCAATGAATTCTTAGCCGCCATGTTATGTGATGTCACATTTCATTTCATCACTGTTTTCCTTCACCACTTTTGGTTACATACTTATACCGTGTAAATGCTCATAATATTCAAAATCATTTAATTAATATGTGTGTATTTTTTTTCTGTCAGCAATTAATACGTATGTACGTGTGCATTAACTCCTTTTTTCTTTTTCCAAATAAAGATAATGTTGGCGTGAGGGATACCAAACTTGGCCCATTATTCAAGTAGAAGATAAAATTTATCCCCATCATATAGATATTAAGTGCACATTCGAAAAACAAGAGATATTGCATGAACTATAGGAAGGAAAAAGATAGCGATGGTATTATAGATAGGGCAGAATATCAGGTTCGTGTAATCGGGTAAAGGATCATTCCATAAGAACAAGTCATAAATAATAATTATTTATTGATATTACAATACTCATTCTTATTCATTATTAAATTTTATGATAAATATAGTTTTTTCTGTTTGGACAACATGTCTCTTTTATTTAAGATAATCTTATTTAAATCAAATAAAATTATTATAGACGATGAAGTTATTTAAATGTAAATTATAACTTAAAGATTACAAATTAAGCAACAAGAGAAAGAAGAATAAAATTAGAGGCGTGCACTTGCACTTAAGGTTTGGTTTCATGTACGATCTCTGATCTCGTCTAGTAGACTATTCATAATAGATTGAATGGTCTCCCAAATATTGGGTCAATTTTGCTTTGACCATATATGTCATTAATATTGTTCATTGCTCATACATGTTCCATCCATGTGGCTTGGCACAAGATTTCAAAAATAGCCGACGATAACAATAATTTAATGCACTGACTTTTGGAGCAAAATGTTGCCTACGGAACGATGGGTCTCTCATTTTCAATAATTTTATTTCGACTTCTACCCAGTTGGGTGACAAGGGTGCCAAAGTTTGCATCTCCACCATAGGAATCGTGATGGTTATCGTTTCACTAGCTCAAATCTTTATTAGTAGCCAAATCTCACGACATTTTTATCTTCCTATTCTCCTTCTATTTCATATTATAAATTATTTTTTATAATCACTTTTCTAATGTACTGATACAATGTTTTTATAAAATATTTTACAGTAACATTAAAAAAATACCTGTAAAAATATTTTGATGATAAAGTTAGTGTTGGATAAAAGATAATAAATATTATTTAATATTCTGAATTTAATCTCTTTATCTATGTTTTATACTTTCTTTTTATAAATATGATATTGAGTTTAATAAATTTTATGACTAATTTCTGTCTTGACCTTCTGATTATTTAAATAATTAATTTTTTTATTAATTTATTTTAATATAATTGGAAGAATATTCGTTCTTCTGAAGGAGTATTTGAGTTATTCTTTTTTTGGCAGTGATGATCGAATAATGTTTTATCTAATACATAAATATCTTCTAATGTTTGAATGCTGAGATTGGAGTAACTTGGGCTGTGGTCAAATCAATTGGTACAAAGAGTGGGTGAAATGGATCCCACCTCTAGAAGGCTGGGTACAAACTCATCTGTGATGGCGTTGTCAGAAATCATGCATGGCTCAGACCAAAAAAATCAAAAATAAAAATCATGCAAGGCTATATATGGTTCTTTGACAATGGGATTTCTAATACTCACGCTTGTCCTTGGTAGTCCCGTAGGGGAAATAGAGTTAACAGCACATGTAATGGAATTTACACCATCTTTATTTGTTTAAAATTTATTTAAGTAATAAAATATATATGAAACAAATGTTTAACCTTTGTTACTAATTTTTTGAACAATAAAATTGTCAAAAAGCAATTTGTGTGTCAATAAACATTTTTCAAAAAATATTTATGCTGGATGAATAAGGAGATGAGAAAGAGAAATGGTTTTTGTGTTGTGTTGTGTGTCTTTACATGTAATAATATGCTTGATATTTATAAAGTGAAAGATGCTATCCATTCCATGGAGATAAAAATAATATCATTGTCTCGGTGATGTTTATAACATCAGGCAACCATGTAGTTGATGGGTTGGTAACTAAACATGGCTTCATATTTTATCTTCTTGTCCCCTTTTTATTTTTGTAGATAGGCCTTGAGCCCCTTAAATTCCAGAAAAGACCAAAATTTTAGGCCCATATCTCAAAAAGAGTGTATTAGTATTAGGAAAACTCACAGGCTAGCTGGAACAGAGCAAGAG